GCATTTTGAGGGTTCCCCCCCTTCTCTTTTTCTGGTTTGTGACTTTATTTCTCTAGTCTGCTAAATCCTTTCCCCAGTAATTTTCACTTTCTATCATTTTATTGCAATTGTCTTTCTCATTTTTTGTTATTATGCACTTCTGCCTTGAAAATATCCCCTTGCTATTGTTGAATTTTCAAGAATGAGTTAAAGTAGATGCATGCATACAGTCAGCCACATTTACCCAGAAGTGTGGTTGTTTATGACTCTGTTTAGTATCTATGACAGTGAAGGACCAGAAATTTTTATTACTGAATTCCTCTATTAAAAAGAAAGGAGATGACTATATAGTTTTCACCACAAAAATTGTTGATGGCTTTAACAAATATAATAATTTAACTTCCTGTTTTTAAAAAATATACTCTCTAGGGTGTACATACTGTTTATGAGAAAAAAAGTTATACAGTAATCTACATTTGGGAAATCCTAGATAAATTTAGAGTTTGCTGTAGGTCTTTTCAGAACCTTTAATATGTTATTATGTCATTATGTACAATGTTCTTGTTGGGTGCTGTCAAGTAGAATATGATTCTTAGCAACCCTATGAACAAAAGATCTGAACCCTGTTCTAACCCTGAAATGTGCCATCTTCACACTTCCTGACACACAAGAACCCATTGCAGCTGTCACTGGGTCAGTCCACCTGGTTGAGGGGTTTCCTTTGCCAGCCCTTCACCCTTCCCAGCATTGTATCCTTTTCCAAGGAATAGCAGCTCCTAGCAACATGCCCAAAGTGTATGAGATGAAGTCTCATTCTTGCCTCCAAAGAGCACTCCAGCTGTACCTTCTCCAAGACATATTTATTAAGGATTTAAAAAAAAAATAGGTTAAGAAACGAAATCTAAAAGGTTGACAATTCTAATTCAGGTTTTCAGGAACAATACCTAGCAGTCTGTAGAGTACAGCCTAGGAGATGCCCGGATACAGTGTTACTCTTACACATGGGTCATTATGAGTTGGACTGGACTAGACAGCACACAGCAACACCCTTCAGATGCAAAGATGGGTAAAACAAATTTTTTTAAGCAACAGCAAATCTCAAAATGTCTGAACAACTGTGAAGTCAAATATGTTTGGGAAATGTTATATACAACAGCATATTTTCAATGCTATTGTACATAATGTGTTAGGTTTTCAAAGGGCTGTTATTTAGGAAGTAGGTGGCCCATCCTGCTTCCTAGTCTCTCTTAACCAGGGAGCTCCACCAAAACCTGTCCACCATTGGTAACCCTTTAGGCATTTGACACATCCATGGCACAGATTTCAGTACCAAAGCAACCCCATGGATGGCCAAGAGAACAAACAGATTTAATCCAAAGAAGGTGAAACCAGGTTTCTCCTTGAAGGAAAGGCTTTTGAAGCTACATCTCGCATACTTTGGGCATGTTACTAGAAGGGACCAATCATTGAAGAAGGACATCATGCTCACATGGGTGGAGGGACAGCACAGGAGAGGAAGGCCCTGTGTGAGACGGATTGACACGGTAACTAGAGTAATTGTTTAGGTGTGTCAGAGACAGACTGGCTCATGACAGGACAGAGTTCAGAGCTATTGTGCATAGAGTCATTATGAGTCACAGGCAACTCAATGGCACACATAACAACAAGAGGTAAGAAGTTGCACCACAGTCCCGAAGGCACTCTAGCTGCTCTGTGAGAAGGATGGGTGATCTCCTCCCTTGTGATTTACTACCTCTACAAATCTGCTGGAGTGTCAGCTATGGATTGATTGCAACTAAATGGCATATAAAAACAATAAATAATTTAAATAAAGGGACCTGTTAGCACAGAAGTTAAGCACTTACCTGATAACTGAAAAGTTGGTGGTTTTATTTACCAGGAGAACTTAAAATGCTTGCTGCAAGAGATCAGGGACTACAGCTTTCAAATATGGATTATATCTCAACATAAAGAAAACAAAGGTCTTTACCACTGGGCCAATAGGCAACACCCTTCTTGGATCCACAGTCACACTCTTGGTACCAGCAGTTAGAAGGTCAGGAGATGTATTGCTTTGGGCAAGTCTGCTGTCTGGGACTTCTCCAAAATACTGAAAAGAAGTGATGTCAGTCTGAAGACTAAAGGGCTCCTGATTCAGGTCGTGGTCTTTTCAGACACTTGCTATGTATTAGGACAATGAATAAAGATGACAGGAGGAGGATAGAATTGATGCTTTTGAGCTGTGGTGTTGGAGAAGAACGCTACCAGAAGAACAAACATATGTCTTGGGAAAAGTGCAGCCATTCTGCTCCTTAGAGGCAAGGATTTCTTTGTTTTTTCTTTCTTTCTTTTTTTTTTTCAAGAGGTAAGATTCCATTTGATTCTTCTAGGGGGGTGTGGGAAAGGAGTTGAAAGTAGGTCTTCATTTTGCAGTCATCATCTGTACGAATTCTTCATAGTTCACCTGTCCATCCCTGTTGATGTCTGCTTCTCTGATCATTTCATCTGTTAGTTTTTCTCCAAAGTTTGTCATGACGTGACGTAGTTCTGCCGCACTGATGTACATTGCCATCCTTGTCAAAGACTCGGAACGCTTCGCGGATTTCTTCTTCACTGTCTGTGTCTTTCATTTTTCTAGCCATCATAGTAAAAAATTCTGGAAAGTCAATGGTGCCATTGCCGTCGGTGTCCACTTCATTGATCATATCCTGTAATTCCGCTTCTGTTGGGTTCTGACCAGTGACCTCATGACGGTTCCAAGTTCCTTTGTTGTGATGGTGCCGTCACCATCTTTATCGAATAGGGACAAAGCTTCCTTGAATTCAGTGATCTGTTCTTTGGTCAGCTGATCAGCCATGGTGCCAACGACGGGGAGTCGGGGGAAGCGCAGAGGGAGCAAGGGCAGCTGCACCAGCACAGGGCTGTGATGGCTGGAGTGCCTCTGCTGCTTCTGGGGAGGCTGCTACTGCAAAGTGGGAGATGTTTAGCACCACTGCCGTCGAGGCAAGGATTTCTAACCTTCGTTTCTCATACTTTGGACATGTTAGGAGAGGCTGTTCTTTGGAAAGGGACATCATGCTTGGAAAGGTGTAAGGTTTGCCAAAGAGAAGCAAACCCCCAACAAGATGGATTGAATGTTGACTACAATGAGTTCAAGTGTATCAGAGATGATGAGGATGGCACAAAGTAGGGCAGGGAGGGTTCAGGTCTGTTGTTCATAAGGTTGTTATCAATCATATTCAACTTGACATCACTTAACAACAGCAACCACGGGAGAAAGGACTTGGTGGTGTGCTTCCATAAAGATCAGAGTCGAGGAGAACCTAGGCGTTTCCTATGGGGCAATTCTACTCTGATTTTATGGTTGCTAAGGAACAGAATTTACAGGACATGCGAAAGTATATTTAAATAGCCTCATGTAGTTAGTGCTACTCTATTGGACAGCACACATTTGTGGAAGCATGCAGTCTCAGAGAATTCAGTGATTCTCAGCCTTTCTCTGGGCATCAAACACCTGAGAAAGGGACATTTCTGTTGTTCTCAACTGTGGAATCACATCCGTCTGAGGGAGTCCATGCACAATTTACGAAAAAGCCCTCAGAATTCTGCTATTTTACACTCTGTTTGCTCTCTTTGCTCCAAGAATTAATGGTCTAAATAGTCTTATTCAGATCTAGAACTCTGGGTTTAAAGAATTCTTATCTGATTATTTAGTAAAATATTTTTCCAGTTAAGAGTAGAATTGGCTAAAAGACGAGCCAAAATTCTAGTTTAATCTTGTACTAGAATATAGGTCATTTGCATGACAAACTCTGATTACTGGATGTAACTTAGAGCCCTCCTGTAATCCTTTTCTATCAGGTATAGAAATATCTAAAGAGGCAGTGCTGGTATTGAATATAGGAGAAGAGGCTTGCTACTTGGTTATGTCCTTTAAGAAAATTTTTTTGGCCCCAAACAGTCATTGCATCCTCATAGTACTACTTCGGTAGTTTAGTTTTTACTAAATTCATTCTGTTGTTGTTGGGTGCTGGTGAATGGGTTCTAATTCACAGCGGCCCTGTGTACAAGAAAATGTCAGATCCTTACCTATTCTCACACTTGTTGCTCAAATTAAGCTCATGTTGTAATCACTTTATCAGCCCATCTCTTTGAGGTTCCTCCTCTTCAATAACCCTCCCTGAAGGAGGAGTAAAACTTGTATGGTACTTAACAATGACTATTATTCTATCAGTCTTGGTGTCCTTCTGCAAGGACTGGACCCTCCTTATATTAAGTCCAATGTATGTGAGATTGAGTCTTGCCTTCCTCCTTTTTATACTTTTTCCAGAACAAATTTGTTGTTGTTCTGGAAACAAATAAAACCAAAACCCATTGCTAGTGAGTTTGTTTGATGCATAGCAACCCTGTAGGGTAGAGTAGGAATGCTCCATGGCTGTAATCTGCATGGAAGCAGATTGCTGTCTTTATAATCCACAGAGTGGCTAGTGACATTGAACTGAAGACTATGCAGGTAAAAGGCATGTGCTTAACCAGTGACCCATCAGAACTCCTTAGACTTCTTCTTTTGATTTTCACTTTTTTTTTTAATATGTGTACCGTCAAATTGTATCTGACTGTTACAGGAGGCGATTGTTCCTCCTTCTTCAGCAGAGCATCTGGTGGATTTGAACCGTGCACCTCTGGGATTGACTGCAGTGCTGTTTCCTGCCACTAGGCCACCAGAGCTCGCCTTCTTATCTTCTTAATGTTCTGTATTTATATGCAATGTTTTCAGACTCTTACTTGATCCTTTAAATCTGTTTGATTGTTTTATTTGTTATATATCCTTATCTAGTGGGAATCTGGAAAGACGGGGCAATGGTGGGCTCAGTTCAATGCTGATTAATTTTAGATAATGAATAGGAATGGTTGTATGAAACACAATGCTGACAAACTTTGTAAGCAAACCAATATAAAATAAAAATTTAATTTTTTTAATTTACAAAAAATATATATATCCTTATTTCTATTTCTTACAGTTGCTTCTGCGAAAAGCAAGTATGGTGACTTGGTCTTCAAGGAGTTCCTAAAAGGTAAAGAATTATTTCTAGGAAATGGAATATCTTTTTAGGGGAAGATTTTTCTCTCTGTATTGGCTCTGGAGAAAGGTCTTTATCTTTTCATTCTCCTTTTTTCTTTGGAGATCTCCATGTGTCTCAGATCTGTCTTTTCCCACCTTCGCTCCTAATTTATTTCTTTAATCTCTTTTATATCTCAAAAGAGATTTGGGGGTGGAAAGGTTGGCACAGTTACACTCAACACTCATCCTGGCTTATTCACAGAATAAAGACAACTCATTCCTAAATGAGATTATAACCATAAGCATAAAAGTTAGGGTAAACAATATTTATTTTATGGGGAGAGAGCTCTGGTGGCTTAATAGAAAGAAATTTCCCTGACAACCCAAAGACAGGTGGTTCAAATCTGCCAGCTGCTCTTCAGGAGAAAGATGGCCAGTCTCCTCCCACACAATTAACAGTCTCTTCTTAAAACCGACTCCTTAGAGGCAAGGATAATGAAACATCATTTCACATATTTTGAGAATGTTGCTAGGAGCAGGTTTTCCTTGAAAGAAGGGATACTCTTGGAAAAGTGGAAGTAAAAGAGAGGAAGACCCTCAATCAGGTGAATTGATACAGTAAGTGCTACAAAAGGGCTTGAGTGTGTCAGAGATAGTGAGGGTGGCATAAGATAGGACAGAGTGTCAGATCTGTTGTTCATGGGGTCACTCTGAGTCATATTCAGCTCAACGACTCCTAACAACAATAAAACCCACTTGAGGGTCAGCTGTGAGTTGATTCTAAGTTGTGGCACATGATAATTTTGTGTTGTTAGCTACTGTTAGGTCAACATGACTCATAACAACCCTGTGAACAATGGATCTGAACCCTGCCCTGTCCTGTGCCATCCTCATCATCTCTGGTAGACTTGAGCCCGTTGTTACAGTCACTGTGTCAGTCCATCTTGTTGAGGATCTTCCTATTTTATGCTGACCCTCCTTTCCAGGCATGATGTCTTCTTCCAAGGCCTGGCCCCTCCTAACAACATGCTCGAAGTATGAAAAATGATATATTCCTTGCCTCTAAGGACCCTAGTTGAACTTTCTCCCAGACATATTTGTTCTTTTGACAATTCATGTATATTCAGTACTCTTTTCCAGACATAACAATTTTAAGGGGACACAATTAGATCAAAAACAACAAATAAAAAGATGTCAAGTTACATTGAAATTTGAAAGAAACATAATTTTTTAGTATAATTATGTCTCATGCAATATTTTACCCCATAGTTTACCTCACAACCCTACTGCAGGGTTACTTATAAGAGTTTTATTTCATGTATAAATGCAGGAGTGGACAAGATAACTCAGTCACTGTAGCTACTCTGGATACTCTTGTGTAATATTAGCCACAATTGTCTCAGATGTAGGTCCCATCTACCTCAGAGGAATGTATGTTGTTGTTGTTAAGAGGAATGTATAGAGAATGTAAATGTTTGTGTCTGGTCTTAATGCTGCTTTTCATATTATAGGCCAAAGTTGATATGGTTAAATGATCTTGATTATAGCTTGTGTAAAATGAGCAGTTGTCTTTCACAGTGTGGAAAGCACTTGCTTATATTGGTCCCACAGCTGTTGATGCTTTGCAAGATCAAGTGTCCACCATTAAGATACCTGGAGACCATACTGTTTATGGGGGCTAACACAGTTTTCAAAGATTCTGACACTACAGCATGTGATCTTAGTTTTGACAATTTCTTCTTTCCTTTGACTTGAGAATACAACCTGAAGAACTTGTTTTTGTTATGTGTTGTCAAGTTGCCTGCAACTCATAATGACCTTATGTACAACAGCCCTAAAACCTGCTCTGTCCTGTGCCACTCTTATTGTCTCTGACACACCTACCCCCATTACCCCAGTCACTGAATCAGTCCATCTCATTGAGGGTCGTCTTCTCTTGCGCTGTCCCTCCACCCTCTCAAGCATGACCTCCCTCTCCAAGGACTGGTCCCTCCTTGCAACATGTCCAAAGTATGTCAGATGAAGCTTCAGAATCCTTGCCTCCAAGGAGCAGCCTGGTGTCACCTTCTCCAGGACGAACCTGTTTGCTCTCCTAGCAGTCCATGGTATATTCAGTACTTTTCTATGAAGAATTAGCACTTACTTTAGGGAGAGAAAATAATCTGATAATTGTTGTGCGTTCATTTTTGTGATTCATCAATGCTATCCATTGCTGGTGTACCTGTTTTTATTCCTAATTAAAAGCTAATTTACACATTTTTTGAAAAGTTTTAACAAAAAAATGTTAATAAAAAATAATACTAAGAACTCAAAACTGCCATAGAGTCACTTCTAACCTTGTGACCCTCCATTTGGCTTGGGATGTTGTTGTTGCCGTCGAGTCGCTTGCGACTCGTAGTGACCCTATGCACAACAGCCCTAAACTCTGCTCTGTCTTGTGCCAATTGCACTGTCTCTGACACTCCCATCCTGATAACCCCACTCACCGAATCAGTCCACCTCATAGAGGGCCTTCCCCTCCTGCGCTGTCCCTCCATACTTCCCAGCATGATGTTCTTCTCCAAGGACCGGTCTCTTCTTACAACATGTCCAAAGTATGTTAGACAGAGCCTCAGAATCCTTGCCTCCAAGGAGCCATCTGGTTTAACCCTTTCCAGGGTGAATCTGTTTGT